AAAAGGTTGTGAGAATTAAGGAAGTGATCAGCAAATAGACATCCCCTTGAATAATTAAAAATTCTCCCAACTAATACTAAAGGAAACAAAGAGACCAGTAAGGAGAACTTGTCCATTGACTATGCAGCTTAAATGGTAAATTGCTTTTAATTGCATTTATGTTCTGAAACAACAATGAAAGATGACTTTCATAGATTTAATATTAATAGAAAAATAAAGTTTAAACATTCAATTTTTATGTACTGCAAATATTGTTGAAAAAAAAACATTCAACATATAATTATTTTACTTCTGATATACACACATTTTCCTTGTAGTTTATTCATGTTAAATAAAACTCCTTTGATTGTTATGTATATTTTGCAATTGCCCTACAGCAGATATACCGTCTTTTCTCAATTAAAAACCCCTGGCATTTACCTTTTTGAAACATTGTGGAACTAGGGTTCATTTGACCCCCAAAGCTCGCTTGAGCTCTTTATTCTTGAAGTTCTGGTTATTTCTTCATAAATTTGTATGGCTTTATAATGGGGCACGGGTAACATTTGTACAGACATAAATTGTTACGTTATATCTGCACCTTGTTTAACCTGTAATAGATACTTCAGGGGTTTATTTAAAACTCCACCTTGGAGACCAGCCATTTACTGAAAGCCCGGCATTTAATCAAAAAACTACGGTACTAAAAAATGTTACTGTATCATCATTTTGCAACATATTGAACTGAAACAAACGTACAAATAAATTTATCCATATTCAACCATTTTTTTTAATTCAAAGTGTTCAAAAGAAATCTATTCTTGCAAAAAAGAACTTAAGTTAAAACCAGTAAGAATGCTGTCCAATGCAACACAATAAATAGACCTGAGAAGAACTGTGGTCAAAGTAATAGTTATGAGCACATTATAACTAATAAGCTCTATGTCTACAATGTCTGGTATTTTCCATTGCCATAAAGGAAAGGGTTCCCATAAGAACCTTCAGACATGCTTTCCTGGGTGGTTTGTTGTGGCCCTTGAGAACTCTGCAATGATGGGTAAAACCCTGCTTCATGACAGGGAAAGCCCTGATTCCATGATTGGTAAAACCCTGTTTCCATATTGGAGGATGGAGGCACCATACTGGATGATGGAGGCAAGCCTGAATTGGCTCTATGACCAAGCATGAGTTGAAATAACTTCAACTCATGCTCTCGGGACTTTTCCATTTCGTCTTTCAGAAAGCTGATCATCTCTTTTGTAGGGTCATTTCTGACAACTTCAGTGATGAGTTTCATCACTTGGGTGTTGTCAAGTTTATCTTTAGCAAATTTCTCCTTCTTTGCAGACCTTTTTGGTATATACAGGGCATCTTCGTCCCCAGCATTATCAGAAGGGTGGTCATCATGAGAACTTCCAGGGGTACATGGAGAGGACGATGATGATGGCTCTAAAGCACGTTCGGGCTGACAGGAATCCCTCGTTTTAACCACTGCAAACAAGGCATTGAACCAGCTTCCAAACCCATGGTCTTCCTGGTACCTCTTTATTCCTGTTGCAGTTTTCTGAGTTAGTGCAGCTTGTTTACACTGGCTGACACACTTTTTGAACTTGGTCCTCAGCTGGGCAATTGACATGTTGAACTTGTCACCTCTTGCTGATGCCCTGCCTTTCAGCTCATCCAAGATTTTGGCATAAATTGGACTATTTCTCTGATTCTTGGTGTTCGTAAAAATCAGTTTGGTTTTAAACTCATTGCTGTTAACAACAATGTCAATGAAATCATCAAGAACTTTCGGGCACCATCGAGGTCTTCGCCCAGGTCTTTTGCCCTTCCTGGCCTTTCCTTTCTTTACAAATAGTGACAAAGCTTTGTCCACATCTTCATTGTCATCACCCTCTTCACTTGTAACATCATCTTCATCCTCATTTGCATCAATGTTTTTGCTATAGGACAAACATTCAAACCTAGATATTAGCTTCATCAGCTTATTATAATTATGTTTCATAACCTGGGTTGGTGAAAATTAGACAACCAAATTTTACTATTTGAAACTTCCTACAATCTCCGCAGAGGAAATTTTGAATATAATGATGTTAACTGAAATGATCACATGTTTTTCTTCAAAAATGTCTTTTCTCATGACCTTTCAGTAAAAAAGTAAACAAAAAAAGTTTAGGACCGAGATATCCATGGCAAACCTTAGCATTTGCTTATTAGCTCAAACTAACCAAACAAGCAAATTTAATTTGTGTGTGTAGCCCGTTTAGAACAAAAGAAGGGACATTATCAATACTTAAGCTTACGTACTTTACTTAATTCACGTCCCCTCGGGGCTTTTCAGAGAAATAATATCAGAATGACCTGAGAAGCATACCTTTTCATAGCGGGCGGCTTTGTGGACTTAACATTCAAGCTTGACTCTTGGCTTTTCTGACCCACACTGGTCTCCT